AAGATGAAATTAATAAGAGAGGAGCTTAGGTGGCAGAGGCTTGAGCACAAACCCAAAGGCCAAGCACCCCTCAGCTCTATCACAGGGAACATCCCCAAGTCAGTCCCCTGAAACTCAGGGCTCGCATTCCCTGTGTAGCAAACGCAGCCTTCTAATCTTGTTTTTCCCATCAAGGAAGGCTGAACAGGCTGTCACAGACACAAGCAGAGAGTTCAGAGAGCAGAGGGGCAAGCAGGAGCCCAGCGGCCCGGCATTTTTCTTTCTTAATCCTGGGAATGCTGTTAGTTCATTCAGGATCCTCTCAGCATTTTCACACCTGGGTCTTGATCCCACTTTCATAGCAAAACAAAACTGTCAAGAAAGAACAGATATGAATCCAGGAACCAAAAATTACACTTATTGCCCTGATTTGGTGACAGAGAAAAGCTGAAATATGTATCCATGCCCCTGGGTATGAGAGAAGGCTCTCTTCTCCATCATATCCTTACATAATGAAGAGGTTAGCAAATACGATAGAATCATTTACAGAGCAGGTCCCTAAAGGTAAACAGAAGTGATGAGTATTTCAGGCTTTTACAATGTTATTGACATTGTGGTTTTAGCATGGGCAGTTAAATTCTGATTCTCTTTTCTGCTTGCAATCTGGAAAAAAAAAGTGACCTCAGAGAACTGTCAGTATTTTTGAAGTCTCATTATTTCTGCGTAAGCGTGTAATATATATCTCTAATAAAAAAGCCAGGCTAAGAGGGTGGACTTCTTCATTTGGTCTTCTTAGGAGCTATGGAGCTTTCATCATTCTGGAAAACAGTTGCAAGGAAAAACTAGAAATCATTCATCTCAGGAGCTCAGCATCAGTGTTGCTTCAGTGCTTAAAAAGCGGTTTTGGCATTCTGGCATTTAGTATTGGCTGAGTCAGAAAAGCTGCTTAACTCTCCTCTTTTGTCAAAAACTGAAGGCTTATATGGAAGTAAGCTGATTGACTAGGTCCAAATGTGCTCTCAAAACAAGCTACTTATCTAATGACCTCTTATTTCCTTAGGTTTTATAAAGGTATATATGTATGAAAAATGGTTATCTGAAAAAGAAATAAATACAGGTTTTTTCCCAGTTTATGTATCTTCCAGTAAGGAATAGGAGGAATTGATGGACTGATACTGGAATTGTCAATACACCCTTTGGAGGGAAAAGTCCCTCCAAAAAAAAATGTCACATATCTACTAGAGTCATTGGCTGAGTCTGTGGAGATAGAGACAAGTGGAATCTGGTCAACCTAGTACAACTTCTTTCCTCCAAAAACTTGATCATGTTTCTTGTGAATTTTAACTTTCATGGAATAAGATAGGTGGGCCTGTCAAAGGTTGGGAATTGTTGAACATGGAACAATGCTGCCTGGTTCCTGTAAGGGCAAATGCATCTTGTTGTCAGTGAGCTAATTTATAGCTATAACCTCACTGTATATTTGCAGGAGGAATTGTAAATTAGCTATTGTCACTGAGGAAATAGATCTGGGTGTCACAGGTCTGATGTTTTTATAGAACTGTGTACAATGTTTTATGGCAGTCAAAAAGGCATCTGGAGCTTTAGGAAGCATTTAAAAAGGAATGATGGGGAAAAAAAAAGAGAAAATATGAGAAAATTATATTGCTTTCAGTGCTTCATCTTGACAGCAACCAGATGTGTGTTCTTCTACAGCGTGTGATTAAATGGTAGAAGGCATTGTCACAAGATGCTGAGCTGGCCAAAAGTACGATGAGTTTGAAGAAAACACATTGTAAGTACTGTCAATACACAGCTGTAATAGTACAGAGTTTGCACTTGGACTCTTGCTAAGCATTAGATCTGACTAAAAGAAAACAGCTTATTCCTTTGTAACTTCTGAATTTTGCTTATTCTCAGCCTGCCTTCCAGATTCTTCCATGCAATAGTCTCTTCCTCTTTAGAAATCCACACAAATTGTGAAGTCATCTATGCCCTGACTGGCACACTAATAGCTATTATTAAAAATAATTATCTGCAGATAATATTAAAAATAAATTCTCATGATGGTTTTCAACAACCGAGATCTCAGGCTTGTTTTTATAGATGGCAAAATTTTTGTTTCACTTTTGCACACAGAAATAAAATGCCTATTTGCTGGCCCAGAAGTTTCCATGGCAGTCTGTATAATTTCCAAAAGATCCATTTCCTGTCGAGTCCCTCATAATATCCTATTATAAACAAGAATAAATGCAAAGCTTGAAACAAGTCTGCAATAACAAACCAGATTTTCCTGGGATTTTCCCATGTTATGGGATAGCAACATAAAAAATGCAATCATTTGGGGAGTGGGAAGCAATCCAGAAACAAAAGCAAATAAAAGCCAGTAAATGGATAATGCATCTGTCACCTGACACATAACCAGGATGTTTGTATTAGACAATATTCAGCACAGACAGAGATGTGGAGGCCAGCAAACCAATGTCTCTCTTCTTCTAAGGAAGAGTTAAAAGTATTTTTCAGGGACTTTCCAGTATTTCTTTCAATGACTTCCTCTATAGTTTGCAGCATTGATACATTAGAGAGAAGCATACTTTTGGTGTTATAAGAACAGTAACATTGAAACTCAAGGGAACAAATTACAGTTGGTGGTTGAAAAAGCTTTTGATACAAGAGCAGAACTACTGCAACCAGGCATGGCAGGGGGAGTTTGAGGATAAGGAAATGACACGAGGTTGCTGCTTGCCTTGCTGATTGTTACTACTGTCCTCTTGCTCCCAAATTGAAATTGTTGGTGAAAGAAGGAAGTGCAGGTGATTTGGAAGGGAGATGAAGGGACCAAGACAATAGCTGAGGACAGAAAGGACTTGTAAACACCTCTGCTGCATTTATTTGCAAGGAGGGCAGTAGAGAAATGAATGGAGAGTGATGAATACACATGGTGGCTGTAACATGGAATGGCCTTCTGCCAGGATTATAGAAATGCAATTTAGATGTGAAATGAAGTGGCCAAGAGGAGCAGAAGCTTACACGAGACTGGGAAAAGGAGAAGACGGACAAGAACATTTAGTTACTGCAGTGAAATCTCAGAGTCTTTCCGTTCCTTGTGGTGCAAGTGTCCTGACTCTTACTCACTGCCTGGTCAGCTTTCTGGTATGTTACAGACCTGCAGGCACACACAAAGACACTTACTAAATAGTCTACAAGTTTTCAAAGGGTGCAGTCTTCTCCTGGGACTTCTACATGGCCTGGTAACTGGAGGGCCACAGGGCACATTGTTTAGAGTTCAAGCGGCTGAACGCCTCCATCTGATGCCAAAATAATACGGGTTGAGGAGAGGACTGACATCAGTCTTACCATGAAGGGTCTTCAAGAAGAAGCAAGCCAAAGATAGCTCTCTTATTTTATGATCATGAACTTACCTGGGAAAAATCCTTCTGCTGTTTTAAGACTTTCTAGATCATATGTAAAAGTGAAATAAAAGTGTGGATGCCTCAAATAAAGAAGTGTACACTAGGTTAGAGCAATAGGCTTTAAACCCTCGTATCCTCAGTTCCTTTCCTGAAGATGCCCAACATGTCACTGACTTTCCCTTGGCTGCCGTTGCACTTTGAGCTGATGATCTCAGAGAATTGTTAAGGATGGATGTTTCATACTAGTGTTTTATGAACTACACTGGGACTCCTATGGGAAGATGCATTATACCCATGAGAGCTGTGCTCTCCAGCAGCCTCTGTGGGACAGGAAATGGGGTGGTGGCAATATGAAGCATCCCAGTTTATCTGCCAGAATCTTTCCTCAGTGTTCATGTGCGGTATGAGTGCTTCTCTCCCAAAAGGTCCAAGCATCAGTGCCCATGCATGATAGGGAGGACTAACTGGACCTTTTAAAAGAGCCAGGCATCGGGTACTCAGCACTCTCCATTTCAGGGATCAGAATAGGAAGCAGTTGTTACACAAGGGCAAATGCTTGATATTTGAGTGTCCAAAGTAAAGGTCACAAATTCCCATTTTGATAGTGGCTTTTTCTTGTAGTAAAGATTTACAGCTGATCTGGACACTGGCAGTGTTTGGGCATCTGAGGGTAAAATTCACTACTTGTCTCCAAGGTACTTAAATAAGAAGCTTTGCCCTACAGCTCACCAGTCCCCAAGGACTGGGAACAGCCTGAAGAGAGGAGAGTGAGCATTTTACCCTACCCTAAGAGTTTGTTATTGCATCCCGTAATGTCAGGTTGGCACAACATGGTGAGTTATGGTACCACGTACTAAAATTTTTCATTTTGGTTCCAGAAATCAGGCTGAGGTGGCAAAAATGAAGCAGACTGCTTCCGCATAGAGCAAATGAAAAAGTAAAATAACAAACAAATAACAAGCAGATTTTTTTGTAGAAAACATTTAATAATACATTGTTAGGAATAATTACACTTTCACAAGCAAATTCTCTGTGTGTAAGATGCAGGTTTTTCCATTAACTGATTGAGTAGCTAATTAGACATACAACCAAGTCCTTGTACAGAGCAATAGGATTGTGAATATTTCTTAAGAAAAGAATAGTAGGAATGGAAAATCCAGTAGAAATGAAATAAATTATCATTATTTTATCTCTTATATAGAAACTACTAAATAAATACATTTATAAATAGCATGGCAATCAAAATAAATATATATCAAATCCACTGTCTTACAGATTCTGTAGGCTAGATTTTTAAAGTCATAAATCACAGTTCACAGTCTAGCCACAGGCTGACTGCGGTTCAGGAAACTGTTGTTGACACAACATACCGGTGCACTCCAGGGGAGCAGGAGGAATGAACAGTTTGCTGTTGGTGTAATAGCAAAGTAGTAAGGCTTAGTGTAAATAAGCTGTGCTGTAAGTGCATTGCACTTAACTGGTTGTGTTTGGCTGAAATGGTTGCTGAGGGTTCTTCATTTCCCTTAGCAAACCACTTTTCCTCTTCAGCGTCTTCAGTGGCAATGAGCAGCGTGTCCCACAGACCACACTGACCATTTGGAAAGACTTTCTTAAATAGATGCAGTTAAATAAATAAATAAATAGATAAATAAATAAACCAATCCATAATTAACATAACAACACTGATGCAGGAGGTGGCAGGTGGTACGCTGCTTGAATGATGTTCTTCCCGAATGTTTCTCTCAACAGAGGAGTGGGAGCAGTTCCCAGATTTTTTTTCTGTCCTGGTGTTTCTTAGAGTGGTGAGTCAGAATTGAGTTGAGCCCTGTTAAGAGGTGAGGGAAGAGATAATTAAAAAAGAGGTTCAGGAACAATTATCATTGTTTATCATTACAGGAACAGTTAAGGATGAGTGGTCTGTTTCTAACTCTATGTGCTATCTGGAGGCATAGAGAGAATAAAGGTGATGCTTTGAAAGCAATTACTGAAATCCCAGTGTGTGCATGTCTGGTGCCCAGCTAGGAAACTCCTGCAGCGTGAGTTTCTGCATTTACCCACATTAAGAAACTCTTTGACTTGGAAATATGAATTATTAACATATGCTATTGTAAGTAATGGGAAGATTAATTTTTTAAAGCCTCGTTTTCCAAAGGGAGCCAAACACTTCTGTGTTCTTTTCCCTCCAGACAGAGTTGCTGGTACTCAAAGGTTTAGTTGTGACGTATCGTCTTGAACAAGGACCCTGCAGCACAGTCAGAAAGACCAAGACTAATTCTACAGTTAAGCAGCAAGTTTCCTTATTCTTTAAATCTGATTAAGAGAAAACGGAAAGTATCACTAAGAAACCCTACAAATTGGCTTTTCTGGGAGGTTTGCCACTCAGTTGCCCAAATTGAGAGGGAATGGGACTTACTTGGCCAAAATTGCCTTTACGATCAGCTGTACCCAGGAGGCAGTGGGCTCCAAGCACACCTCTCTGCCGTCCTTCAGAGTAGCTCTGCAAAACAAGGAATAAAGAAAAGTCAGGAAACTACTTCATGGATCTGTTTTACTCACAGGATGTAATATTACATTTTTAGATTAGTTAGTATAAATTCATCCCAACTGCTCTAAGTTAACTTGGACATTTTGTTGTGTGTGTTCCACAACTGAGGAGGCTAAAACCATCCAGAAGTTGTGTGAGTCTGTGCACCTGCTCTCAAAGCAGTCACACATTCCCAAAAACCTTTCTCAATGTATATGGGTACTTGGTTTGAATCTGTTTACGTTAGTAAAGCTTCCTTACACAACGACTGAAACCTCCACTGATGAAAAGCTGTTTTGGCAGTATAAGGATTTCAACATTTTAGTCCCTCCTCCGTGCTATTCAAGACCAGATTAGTTTCATTGTTTCCCTAAATCTGCTTGTGGGAATTAGTTTTTCTCTCTGAGACTGACGCAGACTGTTTGAATGGGAGTTTCACCTGCCTGATAAATGCAGGATTTAAACTGCCTTATTACCTCGTGTACTAAGAACTGACCAGTCCTTGAAATTCATGTTCTACCATCAGAAATATTTAATATGTCCCATGACAGATAAATAATCATCAGTTCAGGAGTACATAAGGTCACAGAGACGATAAAAAACATGGTGTGTTACTTAAAACCGTCTCTCTCAAAAGAATAACCAAATCTGGCTACGTCATGTCAGCCTAACTGTTGTCATGAAGCATAGAAGCCTCTGCAGCAGTGGCAGCAGCAGAAGGTCAGTCAAGAAGAAGAAGAAGAAGGAGGCTCTTGCAGAGCTACTTACATGACTTCAACGTTCTTGCAGTGGGGGCCGCTCTGTGTCAGCTTCACATCTTGAATGGATCTGGGAGGGATGAACTTGGAATGAGTGGCTATGCACTGGCACCGGAGCTCGGTTCCCATCCTTGCCAAGGTCTTGCCTGGGAGCAGAAAAGGAAGATCATGGTTTGAGAGGTGATCTTACCATCACTGTATCAGACATAAAGCACAACTGCTCTATTTTAGCAATGTGCTCAATTAAAATACAGCATTTGTCCAAGCTGCCTAAACCCTCACAGTATAAAGATCAGTTGCTTATTTATTTCAGAGGAGCTGATGCTCAAGTACATTTAAAACTAAATTAACACATCTTTTTGAAATAAAACCATCTATTTTGTGGTTATTTGTACTGGCCACACTGTACAGTTAGTTGCATTGTTTCAGTATCTGGATCGACAAACTGGCAGCTATACAGAAGCCAGAGCCCTCGATTTCTTCATTAATTGGAGGCTTGTCCATGCTTGTATGTTCCTATTGTTTGTTCTCCGTTCCCAGCTGTGTATTACTTGCTTGAGGCCGTATGATCATTAATTAACAAATACAAGATCATAAACTGTTCTTTGCGTGGGAAGGGAGAGAAACATTCAAACACTTAAGAAGCAAATCCTGTCTCTAGCTGCAAAAAAAAAAGGAAATTTAAGTTGCATCCTTAAAATTCTTCCCACAAGAGGTCAGTAACTCCTCAGTACAAGGGTTACGTGCTAGATTTCTGACTGAAGAGAAGTTGCTGAAAATCTCTAGAAAGAAACTAATTTACTGAAGCAAATATAAAGCTACATCTCTGCAAGGACAAGCGTCTCGGTAGATGCCTAGACAATACTCCAGCCATGGGGATCTGGGGAGGGATTTCCTTACCTTGAGACATAGCTGCTGAAATCAGGCAAAGAGCCAGGACAGCCACCAGTTTGTTGTTCATGATGAGGCGGGAGTGTTTTCGCTGGATTGTTTAGCTCTGGTTCTGTGGAGCACTGAGCTCTCTTGTCCCGGAGGATTGCTGATGTCTGGACTGGGCAATCCATCTTGCTTATATACGGTTTTGTGCCCAGCAAGCGTGCAGATTGCGTTAGAGGAATTTCCCAGATGCAGTAAAAATGAGTCACATGACTGTTGTGAAACTCCTTCCTAGATGACGAGGAATTATTCTGCTGAGAATAATCTAATGTATTAATTTATTAAAATATGTAAATAATAGCCATGCATTCCATTTTCTTTTGTAGTGGGGTCAGGATTTTACCTCAGCATCATTTTGATGTTGATTATTTTAATATCTTGGGGTTTTTTTTCCATTTTTTCTATTCAAGTGGCATCTTCCAAAGTAAATTAGTCACCAATTTGTTCATTATCTATTACTCTCTGTTCAGTAAAGGAATTGAGGCTGCAGTATTCAAAGCTCCCTGTGGAAAGCGTGTATTGAATTCTGAACGGCTTCGAAAACCGTGCCTGCATTTTTTCATGTCACACATGTTAATGAATAATAAAACAGAGGAAGCTTTGTGTGCAAAAAAAATAGCATGACCTGCTGAACACAGCTGCTTTTGCTTCCTTTGTAAGTCTGGATGTTTTTAATAAGTCTTTTCTGTAATCTTTTTCAGTGGCTGTAACCCTAGGTCTTAGCAAAGAGAGGTAATATTAAATATTACCTCACTGCTGTAGATATTTCTGTTAAAGAACCTTGTTGCATGAATGCTGAGTGTTTATTTGCTGTGGCTGGTACTGATATTACCTTGCGAGGGGGAAAATTTCAAGGGGAGACATGGGCTCAAATGCTGGTCTATTGTTTAAATGAAGATTTGGTTTTTTAACTCATCTGGAGTGCATGTGATCAGGAGAAACCATTCTGTTTCTGGGCTGTAAAAATGTTGTCCTTTTGACCACGATGACTTTTGCTGCTTGTCATCTCCAACCTCAAAGCTTCATGTTTCTGTAAATCTGTGGATTTATAGAGATACTTCTCCCCAGCTCTGAGGAGTTCTTAAAAACTCAGTTATCTTTAACATGTAAAGCATAATTTATTTATAGTAATAATTTAATAGTTTGCCCGTAATTAATTATGGTTTACTGTGTACCAATTGTCATTAACTTAAGTGATAAAAATAACTTTGTGATGAAAATTCTTCTGTTTCCCATCACTATGTCAGCTGGCCCAAGAAAAGATATCACCAAGTTTATCTCTCCTACCTCTTCACTGAGTACTGAATCAACAAAAGATACCGGTTCTGACTCCTAATGGTGCTTCTCCTTAACTGTACGTCCTAGAGGGCTTTACTGAAAAATACATTTGAAGGCATGAAAAAGGAGAGGATTTTACTAGGTACTGAAAATTGTGTTTTATTGTTTATGTTGTGTTATATTTCACTGGTGTCAGATTGTAGGTGTTGGAGCTTTAGCCAGTTTACCTGGAATTAGATTTTGCTCATTCTTTTCTTTTGAGTTCTCTTTCGTTCTCCTTGTGTCTCTTCATATGTTCACACACACAGGGTAATTAAAATTTGATTAGGAATCCCACTTTTCTTAGTTACTATTTGCAGCTTTATTATCTAATTTTGGTGTGCGCTGAAATGTCATTAATGTCCGAGGCAAAAAAAGAGAATTCCCCCTCAAATCCCCAAGTAAAACCAGTGACTACTTGTCCGCCTCACCATGAGACTCAGCTATTTCCTGCGTGTGGCAGAAATCCCCAGGTCAACAGTGAAGCCAAGAGCCTGCTCCACCTATCTGATTAACCCTGCCCTTGAGCTAAGAGTAAATATCTGTCTAAAAGAGCAGGATGTTTGTGATGAAATAAAAATCCATTATGCTTTCCGAGAGCTAAAACATCTCCTCTACCTCCACTTTTTCTCTGCTGTGACACAGTTTCATCGGGACTGTGTGAAGGGGGTGTCATAGAGACGATAGTGGCAGAAAAAGGTTGAGGCATGAGATCAAGCCCAAAGGGCTGGCACTCCTCACCTGTGTTCCTGGGAGTGCCCTGCTTCACCCAAGTTCTCCTAACATCCCTTCAACACTTTCCCAGGATCTTGTCCCAGCCCTTGCCTACGGGCACTCCAAATCCATTATCTGATTTTGGCAGCACGTTTTCCCGCTGTGTTTTCCCGCCAGCCATCAGAGATGACTCGTGCAAATGGAATTGCTGCTCCTTGTGAGCTGATACCGCTGCAAGCAGAGACCTTCCATGCTTAACCCTGTTCAAAGCAGGCTTGGAACCAACAAAACAACAGTTATGCAATAGTCTGATTACTGAAAGACTGCTGAAAAGGGAAGTAAAAACCTCCTTTGCCTGTGTTTTAAGGCAGGATATAGGATGTGTTCTCCGTGCTGCAGGATGGAAACCAGTGGTTTTTCTTTTTCATGACTCATTGCCTTGTGTAATGAACACAAAAGTCAAAAGGGAATCTTTTGGGGTCTTGACTGGGATCATTTAGAGTCTTTGCATGTAGAAAAGGACACCCAAGCAGAAGGGACACGGTGAGGGGATTCATGTGTACTCTGGTGACCAAGACTGTCACGAGGGATGAGGGAGAGCTGGGCTTCAGTCTCTTACCGTTTTGAGGCGCCCTAGTTCCAGAGGAATCCTCCAGCCTCTGGGCTGGTAAAATTATTCTGACTCAGTGAATTAAGAATCCATCTTGTTTTAGACAAATTCAAACCTCTCACTTGAGAAGTTGTTCACACAAGACCCCAAAAGCTCAGGAGATAAAGCTTTTGCTGAAACAAGGGTTCAGCCTGTGCAAGGTGAAGTCTGTCAACTCCTGTCTCCTGTGTGTCCTCGCTACCAGCCTACTCTTGTTCCCCAGGGAAAAAATCCCACCTCTGTCTTCTGAAACCAGTTCCTTTTCCCCACAAAGGGCTTGGCATTCACCTGCCGTTCCACTTGACCCACGGAGAGCAGAAGGGGTGAATACAGGGGCTGGGAAATAGTCACAGTGTTGTGCAAACACTTGTGGAAGTTTACAGTGAGGCAGAGCACAGGGAGCACATACGTCAAAAACGGAATATCTCCTAAACATCTGGTTTTTGACTTGCCATGTGAGGAAGTGACAGCAAAGAAGGGAGAAAAACTTGGGTCAGTTTGTGACTTTTCTTCAGACTTAAGTGTCTAAATATAGATGGTTATGTACCCTTAGTCAGCTCATGGCAAGTGCTGGACTTCCCTGAATGCCTCTGGAATCACAAAATAGCAGTACAGCTTTTTAGTTGAGTTGCCTTTTAGTTTAGTATTTATAAATATAATAGCATAAGTGTGTATTCATGTGACTGCATATTTATTTATGATCTATGTTTCAGTTCTGCTTGAAAGCAGTCAATTCTGTATTGTAGCTTTCAGTTAAAAGATTGTTGTGGGTTAAATTTAATATTTATTTATTTAATAATAAATATATATAGTCAATATGAAAAGTCATTGACTATATTAATATAAGGTATCTGGTAATGCTAGAAAAGTATATATTAATATTAATTATAATACTAACATAAAATATTAACAAATATTCATATTAAAAATCAATTTTATCTGCCTGGTATTAACAGAGGAGATAGTAAGTCCAACTAGAGAATTGTTAGGGAGCAGCAGCTGGGGTTTTACCTCCTCTGTGAAGGCTGTGGCTGTTGCTTTAATGGCATTTCCCTTTCACGAGTTTGGCAGGAAGCATTTTTTGACTGTGGAAATAAGATATGGAAGTAGCGGGAGGAAACACGTGGTAAGTTTTAAGAAGTTTGTGCTGGGAACTTTTGATTAAATTAGAAGTGGTTTGCAGACATAACATACATCATGCCTTCAACTCTGACTCTTAAAATGTTGCTTGCTATTATTTTACTGTCTGCTTAATCTATAGCTAGTGCAGCTTGGCAGATGTGCTTGCCTGAATGCTTCCTGGCAGTGCAGCTGTGGCAGGGTGTGCATAGGGATGGAGAGTGTCTGTGTAGCACTCGAGGGGATACAGGTAGATAGCCTGCCTGTGACAGAAGGGCAGAAATATAAACAACTGAATTTTGAATAAAAATATACTGTTTAGTATTAGAAATTAAATGTTTTGTGCAAAAAACTGTTATATATACATTTGTTGATCCGTTGGATCTCAAGCCATTGGACATGTCAAATCTTACCATGTACCAAAACCTGGAGGGGCAGCAGTTGGAAGGAATCATCGATGCATTTAGTCAGCTTACAAATTTTATTCCAGCTTGAAAATTTGATTCCAGCTTACAGATTTGAATCCAGAATTGCTCTGGTTGGAGATTCCAATGAAGGTCAGTCCCTATCAAGAACTGAGAGACTGTTCTGAGAGTTTCCTACATGTTTGTTTGCAGTCTGATGCTCTGTCTAGCCTGCAGCTATCCCCCCAAACCCCACTCTCCCACCCTGGGGCTCAGAAGATCAAACTCCACAGGGCAGTCATGGTCTGTTTGCCTGCAGTCCTCCATTGCTCTGACCACGTATCTCTGGTCCGATGATTGCTGCTGGAATCTGAACTTTAGCTCTTCCTATCTTCAGAATCTAGATTTAATGCCAGTCATAAACAACATATAGCAAATCATTAAGTGAAAACATCTTTAACACTCTTTTTGACTGTAGAAAGAAATTAACAATACATGCAATGGGAATTAACACATTAAACTGATGTTTAGTCTTGTGGAGTAACATTTAACATCATAAACATGTAAGCTGCAAAATCCTTTTGCAAAGCAAAAAATGTGGTCTAGTATAGTATCATGTAGAACTAACATGAGAGAAAAAAGTTGCAAAAAACCTCCTGTTATATTGAAATGAATAATGTGTTCTTGTCTTCAGAAATGTAACTTATAAACTTTTCTATATACTTATATATGTCTCTCTCTACTGCATCTTCCTATCTGTAAGTGGAAACTACAGCCCATTAAATATCACTTCAGAAATAACACAGGTAATTTAGTATCTCTAATTTTAGCTGCTTCCTTCTGAAAAGCCATGAGCTCATATTCATTAGGCTTCCCTGGGGCCAGCAGTGACTTAGAACTGCTGCTGAGACATAGCGAAGCACCTCACAGGAGGTAGTTCATATGTCAGTCCGTGCTTACTTGCTTGCAGCAGTGCTTCAGGTACACCCAGTCAAATACTGCTTGATAGTCGCTTATGAACACTCTTCATTTCCTTCAGCCAGTCGCATTTTAATCAGCATTCCCCATTTCAGTGAGTGACATGTCTCATCGATCATTCTAAAGATATGTTACCAAAAAAATTCTTTTCTAGGTAATCACAGAAAATGAAGTCATCTTTGGTCTGTGTTGGACACTGCTACAGCTGTCAGGAGTGGCTGGTGGAGGATCTCTGCCACTTTCTCAAAGATGATTCTTTCATGGAGAAATGGGTGTGAATTCACGTCTCATGGCCACTCAGAGGTATCTCGCTTTTGAATGAAAGATCCACTTTGCTTCTTCACTTCTTCTATGGAGCATTTGTTTGTCTTTTTTGGATTACCTTCAGCCTTTCCCAACTCTACTCTGTCTTCTTGAAGATGGGAGCCAGGGGCTGCAGAATACTCTGCATGTGGGTGAAATTTTAATAGTTAGTTCTTATTTGTGCCCTAGTAACTCCTGACGTGTTTGAATAGGTTGGGTTTCTGGGTTGGGTTTTTTTTTGTTTTTTTTTTTTTTTTGTTTGGTTCTGAAGTTTTTTTCACTGCTGAGCCCTTTTCTGATATTCCTGCCATACAATTTAGCATAATCCAACATCTCTCTCCTTTGTGCTAATGGTCATCATAGAATGCTTCATTCTTGTATGAGCTTTGTAATTTTTTCCTGTGTATGTCAATCACTTTGGCTACTTCTTGCAGTGAATTTCATCTGGTAGTTTATTGCCTAATCAGTGAGTCTCCTCAGGTCCTTCTGCAGTTCTTTATAGTTGAACCTAGTCTTTACTGCTCTTCCTTTAGTAGAATCAGAATACTTCAGCTTGTAACAAATGACTTTCCCAGAACACTTGTGGGTGTGCCAAACCAAATAGAACCCCACACAGGCTGGTGTAGGAATCTATGGGTCATGTCTCTTATCAAAAAAAGCTGGCCTTTTCATTCTGTCCTTCATTTCTATGTATTCACCTGTTAGGTATTCATTTCCAAGACTTCTTTCTTATCATCATTATCTCTAATGTTTGGTGAGAATTGAGAAAAGAATTCAGAAAGACAGTTTGACTATACCTGTGGGACCTTCCACATCCATAGGCTTGTTGTCACCTTCAGAGAACTGTAGTAAGTGCGTGAAAGAAGACTTTCTTCAAAGCTACACAGACTCTTCCTTATGCCATGTTTATTCATGTGGTTACTTATTGTATCCTTTCTATTTCTACTTTAAGTAAGGCCATTTAAGGGTAACTAATTTCCTCTTGTTTATTCTTGTCCTTACAGAACTAAAACACATTCATTAAGCTTGAACTCATTGATACATCACAGATAGAGCTTTAGAGATACAGCAAAGGAAAGAAGTAGAATCAGCAACTGCCTCAGGGGAAAAAAAAAATCAAATATAATAATGTAGCAGAAGGGGGATCTGTTCCTTGACATATTTGACAGCAAGTGTTTCCTCTCATTTCATGTCCTTGAAAAACTCCAAGGTGTCTTTTTCCTTGACTTTTCTTTGATTGGTGACTCAGTATTGTCTCTCGCCCTGTAATTCGATGAAATATAAAGTGAATTCAGAAATTTATTAATTAAACAATTACCATTAATACAAGCTACAGGGAGACCAACAGGTGCTCGCAAGTTGTTAATGACCTATTTTTATAGTATCAATCAATTGACATATGTGCAAAGACAAAAAAAATCCTGTGTTGACACAAGTACTGCTCCAACAGAAAGGACTTCTGTATGCCAATGTCCAAGTTTTGCACAGTGGGACATGATTGTCCCCATTTACAGAAGTGAAAGCTAATAAGCTTAGAAATGCTACCTGTACATCTGAATTATATCTAGAAAGAGGAGGTGAGTCTTTTAGAGCTCAGTTTTTGGTACTGTCAAACACACACCCGGATTGTGCAGTCTCTCAGCAGATGTTTAGGTGCATTACACCCGTGGCCTTTGAGTGGGTTAGAACACAGGGAACGTATCAAAGCTAGGAAACCATTTTGATCCTCAGGCATTTAGAAATATAGATTTAGAGAGAACTGTTAGAAAGAATTACTAATGCCTGAAGAGGGTGAGCATTTTCATGCCAAGAAATTAAAATATGCCTTCTAAAAATAGCCTTCAACTGAAACTTTTTTTTTTTTTTCGTGTAGGAATCTATGGGTGATGTTCCTTTATCAAAAAAAGCTGACCTTTGGTTTTCTATTTCTTTCTAGTAAAGAAAACAACATACCTGGCCAAAATAGCCTTTACAGTGAGCTGGACCCAGGGAGCAGTGGGTTCCAAACACACTTGTCTGCCACCTTTCAGCGTAGCTCTGCCAAGAAAGAAACAAAGAAGTTAGAGGCTAAGATCCCTCCCACTCTCACAATGTTTTGGAATTTTTCTTAGCTATTTGTCAATTAAGTAACTGGAGGATGTGATCTGAACTGTTGTTTATTAAGCTTGTTGCATATTTTTCAGCTAGCATTTTTGAGAGGACTAGGGAAAAATGATTTTCATATACTTTTTCTATACTTGGGCATTTGAGTTTGGGTTGTTTTTTTTAATGAGTGGTGTCAATTGCTTATGATGCAATCTTTTTAATGAGCCTGATGAATTTTTTGTTTGGTTTCTGTTCTCTATCTGGTTATAATTTAGCAGATTTTTCAGGAACTTAATTATCTTGGAAACTTTCTATTTTTTAAAATCAAACCTGGCTTAAATTACCAATTGACGTAGAACTGGATGACACACAATGCTGCACAGAGAGTGTGATCATACAAATATTATTTGCTCATGAAACCATAATGAAAGCATCAAAACCTTGAAGCTCCTTTCTGTTTATATGAATTCATGTGAATCGTTTCTGATGTGATTTTATATGAAGCTCATCGTATCTTTTACTTCAGACTCACAGGGATGTTACAATTTAAGTTCCCCACTTCTTGCACAGGAAAATGCTCAGCATGCAATTCTGACATAGAGAGTAACTTGCAGCGTTTCAGACTTTGCCACGTGCAGACCAAGTTAGTGGAAATTGTTTGAATTCTTGTCAGTGGGATCCAGATTGATTCTTAATTGTCTAAATTATTAACTGTGCCCTGAATGTGTTATGGGGATCTAATTCTCTCCTCTGATGTTGGTCATAATTAAGATATTAGCACAGAGAGACTTTTCAAATACTGCCTGGAAGTGGCTGGTAAATTGGCAGGAAATCAGCTCATTCCTTTGGATAGAGGCCTAATACCTTATACTCAGTGTCTATGAGGCTTTCCAAGGGATGTGTAATTCCACCCAAAGAAAATAAGGAACTATGGTGTGAAATGCCAAGTCACTTCCTCCTATGGAAAGCAAGATGTTATTTTGCACAAGTGCTCACATGATTTCCACGTTTTTGCAGCGAGGTCCTCTTTGGTTTAATCTCACATTCTGAATAGCCTTGGGAGGGATGAACTTGGAATGGGTGCTTATGCACAGGCATTGGAAGCCTTTTTCCTCTGTCTTCTCCAGGGCCTTACCTGCAGAACAAAAATAAGTTATGTCTAGGTAAATGAACAACCTCATTCTTTGCTCAGATGAAACAAAGAGTATTGCCTTCTGTCAGCCTTCTTCTTGTTACTCAAACACTCTGGTTTGCTGGAGACTTTGAGGTAAAATTAACTGCATCTGCGCAACAGCAGCAGTTGCATTTTCAGAGCTGCTGTTACGCAGATACATTTAAAGTTAAATTTCTATCTGTAAGTGAAAATACCTAGATGATTCATAGTGCATTTGTGCCTGGCCAGATTCTATACCTAAATTGCATCACTTGAACAAAATAGGTTAACATCATTAACTGTGTCCACATACGGTTTTACTAGTTTCTGCCTGAACATACAGTTTTACTAGTTTCTGCCACGATCATCTGCTCATATTCTTCATTCTCTTTTGCAAATTGCATAATTCTTGCTTTGAGGAAGCACTGTCATTAACCCCTCTATCAAGAATGAAAGTGCAAACAGGAGAATGTTGTCATTTGGGAAAGAAATGTATGGACACATTTAGAAAAAAGGTCTTAATTAAAATATTTCTTAAAATCTAGGGTTAGGCAAATATTACAGCATAGGAATAAACTAATTTTGTGACAGAAGCATATTTTGCCTCCAGTAACAGCCACAGCATCCTAACAGATGCAACTACAAATGATACTTTTTATTTATGAATGACAATTTATGGAAGATGAACATCTCTTGCAAAAAGTCACCGTTAACGTAGCATAAGCCCACTTGCATTTGCATATGCATGTTTATTCATTGGTTATGTAAGTTTTAAGAAATCCTTTTCTTACCTTCTGACCCAGCCATTAAGACCAGATAGAGAACCAAAGCAACAGCGACACGTTTGCCATCCATTGCTGTGCAGAAGTTTCCTCCTTGACAGAGATCCTGCTCTGGTTCTGTTCCATGTCAGGTTTTATATTGGTGAGGTACGCTCCCAGCAGCCTGGGTGCTGAACAAGTGCACTCCAGCACAACATCAGTGTTCTGTACACACAGGTTTCCTAATATATTTGAGAGTCTTGCGTAAGAAATCCAAACCTCTGCACAGTCCATTCAGTGCCACTTCAGCATTCCTTAACTGACTGCTGTATATTTGTCATTATTTCTTTAAATTGTTATTCTTCCCTGTCACTTTCTGTTTGCACTTCTTCATGGGATATTAGTTTTTAAGCAACAATGCTGAGCTTGCACTTGAAAATCAATACAGCATCACTAGGCATCCCCCCAACCCAAAATAGACCTTTTTGCCCCCCTCCCTGAATGTAGAATGTCTGTTCAACTCTTTGCATTGAGTTTAAATGCCTTGTGCAGAAACTTTTACTCAACATAATTACAGGAACTTTTCATCCCAGTCTTACAAACTCTCTTTTGGCATGACTCTAATTAAGTTACTTAGCCAGTGTCTTATGAAGGTAAGGCATAACTAGTTTTTATTGTTCTCTGAAAGGATTTTGTCATAACTGGATTGGCTAACAGGATATAGATGCTTAATTCTGTACTGAAAAGTTTCTCTAGTCATTGAACGGGAAATAATAATCTTAAAATGACTGAGGCATTGTCACCCAAGTCACTTAAGCTCTTCAATTTCATTTGTTTAGAATATGAAAAGAGAAAGTATCTGACGATAAGAGTCGTAATAACACCTGATTAAAATAAGCACTTAGGAAGTTACTTGTTTTTCTTTCTAACCTTATGCATCTAGAATAGTCATAGGTGTTGAAAACAGAAGATAAATATATGTCATAAGTGAAATCTCTCAAGTATTTCTCAGGAAATAGCATGTAATGTTTAGTCATTGGGATAGTGGATAGTCTTATTTTTGTGAGTTGAAAAAAGGTGGTCTCAAGAAAAGAAACTGGACCACATTGTGATCTGATACAATATCTTGTCCATGTGAGTTTCAGTACTTTTCTAAAGAAAGCAATCAGGTTTTGAAAAGAGGAGCCTGCCAAATGAGAGCCTTGGTCTTGTAATGTAGGGGAGATGGCAGTTTATCCTGGATGTACATCGTGTCTGGCTTTTGCTTACTGGGGAGCAGGACAACACTTTGGATACATTAGCTACGATTGTTAACTAGTTCATAACTGGTTTAATTGTTCAGTGTCTCAATGTAAAAATATTTTACCAGGAGAGTTAGTACATGGAGTCTGAGTTCAGCTTTGGACAGTATTAGCAAAGAAGAAACAACACAGAAGGACAGCCCACATTTGAGAAGAGTAGTCATCAGGTCAGAAGAGCTGCGATCCTCCTCTTAGCAGCCTCTGAGAGCATTGAAACACATTTTTGGAAGCCTGAGAGTTGTTGTTTTGTTCCTGAGAAAGGTATCGTGTGAGTGCACCCAGAAAAGAAAGGCAATATTTTATCATTTCTAGCCAGCCTCTGAATCATGTCTCACCGGTGAACGATAACCTGTGGAGAAAGAAGGGAAATGGTTCAGCTGCTGTGCAGACACCCTGCCTGGGGTCCTGGGAGTGCAGCCATTGCTGATGTTCTGGACAGAAGAGTTTATGAGAAGAGCCCTTCCTTGGCTGTGATTCAACTCCCAGTAACTTAAATAGGATTTTGCTGGTGACAAAGGGTATACACTTACTGTAAGTATCTCTGCAGCACTAACAGTGGTGCCAGTCCTTTAGGATACACACATATTTTTATGGGTGTGCATATCAAGTGGTTCTTCCCCACCTCTCCCCATTCTTGGCTGATATTTCTGATGTGTTTACCTCCAAATTAGATTTCTGAAAGAAGCCAGCTTGTAAAAATCACGTAGAAAACGGGACGGCTTAGTGATGTAAGACAAGTTTGAACAGAACCTGTCCCCTTAGAACCTTTGTCTCCTTTATGTTCTGAGGACGAGGTCTAGCAGGCTGTGTAATGCAGTGCTGTGAGACAGGGGCAGAGATGGGGACAAGGGAGCAAAATGTGGTTGGAAGAGTTGTCATTTTGCACAAGAGCTTGCTCAAACAGTACCAGAAACTCCCTTTTTATTTTGCACCATGAGCAAACACGAGTTGTTTGTGTAGAATACGGAGTAGCTCCTTATTGGAAAAGACCAAAGAAAAACAAATATCGCAACATTTGCTCAACTTTCCCTTTTTCTCAAGTGTTTGCTGCTCGTATTCCAGACATTTCTCTGGAAATCGCTGTGTCACAGGCAGATGTGTGGCTGTGCAATAAGATCTGTTTCTTAGGATTTCTCCTGATGTAGTTCTCCCTCTTCACTGGAATCAGGGAGGATGCTCAGTGACTTCCTTAATGTTTATCAGGTTTCCCTGCTTATTTAAGTTAATGAAAAACCTTGGTCAGTGCCGGATTCTCCGCTGGCGTGCTGTCCGAGCACCACCACTGAGACAACCTTGGAACTTCTGTGACTAACCATTATTTGTTCACTGCTTTCCATCTGTTAATTTTATGACCCAGACCTCTGAAAACACCTGTCTGGCAAGAAAAGAGGAAGAAAGTAGATAATTTTTATAATTCCTCCTATTGGAAACTATCTGCACTCATGAGAGGCAAGAATTTGCTGTTGTAATTCGCTGTTCCCCACATCTCAGCCACTGCTTTATGTTCTGAGGACGAGGTCTAGCAGGCTGTGTAATGCAGTGACCTTCTGAGAATCCATTATGTGATACAAAATGAAAGAAAATGCATCCTCTTTTTCAGTTCTGTGTTTCAATAAGGAAACTAATAACGCACAATATTGAAGTGAAAACATTTCAACAAGCATTTATTAGGCACATAAGCATAAATATTTCCTGTAAGTAAGTAAATGAATAATAAATATTGAAGACCAACAACATTCGTATAAAAATAAGTATATAAATAAAAATAAATACATAAATAAAAATAAATACATAAATAAAAATAAATACATAAATAAATAAAGTGTTTTTTTCTAACCAAAAGATGTCATTAAAATATAAGTTTATACCTTCACAACACTAAGTAACAATAAATAATATCTTGAAAATGATGGCACAAGAACTAATGTCTGAGAATTTTGGCTTCCTAATTTTGCAAGCTCCCCTCTTCTGGACAGTAGCCTGCTCTGAGTGGCAGTGACTTAGGTACAGTTGATGCCACCTATCCAGGCTTTCCAGGATAGGAGTCACTGGTCTTTTCCTAAACTGTTAGCAAAAGGGGAATGTGTTGTTTAGTGAAAGCTCTCCTGAGAGTGCACTGCACTGATCCAGCTGTGTTTAACAAAAAATACTCCAGAATTGTCTCCATCTCTTTTCACAAGTCAATTTTTGTGCCAGCTTTTTCTGGTGTCAGTGGTTTCTCTCCTACATGAGACCTCTTTAAAAGACTTAAAGTACTGTTGTCAAGTAACTACAAAAACAGGGAATCCAGACTCTCTAGATGCTGTTAGAAGTATGACTGTAGGAGGCAGCAGGAGGTGAGCTGCCAGAAGCTGGATGAGCATCTCTCCCATTTTTCCATTCCTGGAACAGTTGGGACATTTTTCTTCTTCATCTTAGGACACTGTTTCAGGTTTGGTGTTTGCCCTAGAAAGAAAGAAAATGGGAAAGGAGACAATTAGAACTTGGCCATGGAACAGGTATCACTGGCTGGAATCAGATGAAATCTGCCACTAAGGGTTTGTGCTTCTGTTTCCAAGCCCTTAAAAGCTTTTACTGAACCTAAGAGGCACTGGCACATTGTGACGTTTTCATAAGTACTCAGTAACTGTGGGCTTCCATAGTTTGATACTTCACTTGACACCTCTTGGGCCTGATTTTTCCTCCACTCAACAAAATGCCATTAGTTTTGAAAAACTTATCGTTGCTTTCTACAATTGCAAACAAGAGAAAATCAGTTGGTTAATGCCCGGTTTTCCCGAGTGCTTGAGCTGCAGGTTTTCAATATGCTCGTGCCGTACGAGAGATGGAGCTAACATTCACATGGGGTGTGTGGCACAGTAGGGGATTGAACCTAATGCTGTAATTAAAGCTTAAAGCAATCACAGTGTTGGTCCCAGTTAGTGAACACAAAGGGTTGGAACTGCCTGAGGAGATAGAATTTTTAAACACTTTACATGGTACATGTTTGCTGGCTCATTTAAAATACACATTTTTGATAAGCTGTGCTTTTTAAGAACAAATTACTTACTTGTCCAGAATTGCCTTGATGATCAGCTTCACCCAGGGAGCAGTTGGCTCCAGGCACACTTCTCTGCCGTCTGTCAGGGTAGCTCTGCAACAGGGAAAAAAGGAAGGGAAAAGGTCTACTTAGTGAATTTCAAGGTAATTTCTCTTTTCTCTCATGACATCATTACGTGTTCTCCTTTACTTTCAGCTGTATTAGTTGAGGCTGTAGCCTAACATAAAGTTTTTTATTTTAAATGGTTTCATATCTTGTCATATCTCTTTGTTTGAATGGATTAAATAATTTGCAGGACTCTCACTCTTTTATAGAATCATAGAATCACATAGTGGTTTGGGTTGGAAGGGACCTTCAAGCTCATCCAGTTCCAACCCCCCTGCCAGCAGCAGGGACACCTTCCACTAGACCGGGTTGCTCAAAGCCTCATCCAGCCTGGCCTTGAACACTTCCAGGGAGGGGGCATCCACAGCTTCTCTGGGCAACCTGGGCCAGTGTCTCACCACCTTCACAGGAAAGAATTTCTTCCTAATATCTAATCTAAACCCACCCTCTTCCAGTTTAGAGCCATTTCCCCTTGTTCTGTCATTAACTGCCCTTATAAAAAGTCAAAATGGCTTCTTTTTTTTTTTCCCCGAGCTTGCTTTATATTTGTGATGTTGTTTAGCTGAAGAGCTAAATCTTTCCATCTTGATTCAGAAATTGTACTGCCCAGTCCATAGGAATTTTGTTACAGTAAGAGTTGTGGAATTGTGACTGGATTATATGGTTTGTATGCTAATAGTAGTTTTTTCATTGACTGAAGTAGAAATGTGATCATATTTTTGACCTAGCCGTTAAAAATTCCTGTTTTGATCACTGGCTCTGTGCATTTAATTCTCTTCTCATAAGCTGGTGGAATTCAGAGTTTTAGAAAGTTATTTGCTGTCTGATGACTGCAGGTTTACGTTGAAATATTGCACGAGATGTTTAAAAAGTAGAGATTGGCAAAAACAACACGCAACTTGTAACACGTAGCGTATTGTTTATAAGAGCAATGAGTGTTGCTGTTCTGCATTCTGAGTTAGCTCGTTACATCTTTTAGAGAACGCTTACATCATCCTTAATGCAAAATCTATTTCCTCCTTCTTAAGTAATGGGGAGGATTTTGCAAAAGCACTTACATGACTTCGACGTTCTTGCAGTGAGGTCCACTGGGGGTGAGGTTCACGTTCTTAATGAACTTGGGATGGATGAACTTGGAATGGGTGCTTACACACTGGCACCGGAGCTCAATCGCTGAGCGTGGCAGGGCCTTACCTGTAAAGCAAGAAAAAGAAAAAAAGGTAGACTGTTTGTTTCACTGTTTCCACAGGAAGCACAACATGTTCTTTTTGCTGATGGTGTTAGAATAGTTATTTGTTGCACTTAGGAGACAGCATAGTAGCTCCTCCGTCAGCATTTACATTAGGAATTAGCTAAGAGAGCTTTATGAAGGATTTCTTTACCTTCTGTTCCAACTGCTGAGATCAGGAGAAGAGTCAGGACAGCAGCCACAGCCTTGCCTGTCATGATGCAAGAGCGTTTCATCCTTGTGTCACCTGGGTCTGGTTGTGTGGCGGGGTGAGCTCCTGTAGCCCCAAGGGTGGCCAGTGCCTGTGCTCCGGGACTTGCCGTGTTTATATACTGCCTTGGTCTGCCCTTTGCACTCCAGCGTCACGGGTGGTTCATACCAATGGGAAACTCCAAACCTGTGAGATGCTACTGTGGAATGAGTCACAGGTGAGTGGGTAAGCCCCTTTCCCTAGATGGCCTTGAAATGGCTTTTCATTAACAGAAAGCACTTGATTAATTAAAGCAATGTAAACATATGGAATATGTACAAAATTGCCCTGTACTTAGCTTGGTGGAATCCTTAGGGCTTGTGTAATATTCCATTTCTTGTGATTACTTTCTTCTCTACCTTCATACTTTTGGTGTTATTATTATGTTATTCTGTAAATTTCCACTTCTGGTGGAAGGCATTGATATGTCATTTTTCATCTGTGTGTCTTTAGGCTTTGTTTTTTTTTCATTTTAAGGCATGATAGAAGTAGGAGCTAATACTGTGTAGAAATGATAGGTGCTAGAACTGGATTTTAACGAGCTCCCCTTGTCCTTATATGCTACACATTTTTAAAAATCTTTCTTTATATGCTGAGATAACTCAGCAGAAATACTTGAAGTACTTTTTGATGCATTAAAACTTTCCATCACTGAAATAAGCAGCAGAATCCAGACTGACTTTGTCATGCTATTGAGAACATATAGAATATGTTATTATGATATAATTAATTGCTTTGCCTAATCAGGCGGATTTTTTTTTGAGGATGACTGCTTCTTCTGAAGCCAAAACTTCTTAACTTTTTGCTGCTTTTAATTTGGTCAGAGGAAAATTCAAAAAGCTGCTGTAGGATTCTGCTTCTGAAATAAGTTGAAGCACTTTCACAAATTTAAATTTGACCCTGTAAAGAGAAGATTTCTTCTGATATTGATAAAATTAAAGGAAAAGTGAAGATGGGATCATGAAGGAGGATTATTCAGATGAAATCACAGATGTACAACCATTTTTATTAACAATAGACAATAATACTAAAACACAAGTGGGCTTTGTTGGGGCTTAACATTAAGGAATCTTGTTATTTTCTTCTGCCAGGTAATGGAGACAGTCAAAGGAACAAAGCATAGGACAAGATATGAATGAATATAGGTTGATTATTCTCTGACTTATCATGAAGGACACGGGGATTTATGTACGTCAGGCTGAAATTCACTTAATATTACCATCTATATCAGTTTGTAGTTTTACACAAATTTATAGACAGTCTTAGGGGATGTGTTCTGAACAGTAGCCTAATAAGGTGTGGAGATATGGAATTAAGTACCTGTTTTCCTGCTTAGCTGGATTAGCTAACGTGAGCACATAAGCACTTAATCACAGCTCTTCTGTGTCAAACCAGAGATCTGCCCAGTGAGTATCCTCTCTTCCATCATGGCCAGCAGCAGATGTCTAGGAACATACAAGAAAAGATCAAGTGTATTTGAGACTTATCCCTAGTAGTCGCCCACTCTGAGCCTGGTTTCATTTGATGCCTCTTGATTCTTCTATGTGAGTTAGATATTGATCCTTATCCCTGATTTCCGTCTCCTTCAGAATTCTGTAGACCTTTATCACATCTCCAGGTAATCTCTTTTTACAAAATATCCTGTTGCCTGGTAGCAGCATAGACTGGGTTGTTCATTCTTACCTCTGGACTTTTTATTTCCCCCTAACACACTATTTCCACACACAGCAAACTGGTGACAGAAATGCAAATTGTAGTATCAATGGAAATGCCTTATGGCTGGCATGCAAAGAGAAAATGGAAGTATAAATTGCACTGCCTGAGGAGGGTAGACCTCTTTCCCAAATAAACCCAAGAAACTGCTCTTTAAGTTTGTTAATTATTTTTGTTAACTCAAAGATAAAATTATTGCTTCTGTCTCGTATATGCAATGAAGGTGTTATTCTTTGTCTTCTTTGCATAAAACCTACTGCTTGTTGTGTTTTAAGGAAGGATTATTTCTGCTTTCTTGATCCAGACAGATGTTTGTGGCTTTTGTACGTTCCTACTCAAATATAAAGCAAGGGCTTAGGCGTCTGACATCTATCATAGATGACATAATGATTACAGTACAACAAATCTTGATATGGAGCAATGGGAGGGAACAACTGAGTAGAAATCTAGAACCTGTGGTTTTGACTTGTAAGTCAAACCACCTTTAAGAGGTAGTGAATGGAACACTTGGCCTGCAAAAAAACCCACAGTCAACAAAGATAAAATTCCTTTTGTGGTTACAGAGAGAAGTCAGAAAAGATGAACCATAAATGAAAAGATCACATGTTTTATTGTAAACTCTTGTGATTTGGGTGAAAGAAAGGAGCTGCTGTTTCAATTTATTTACTAGGACTTAGTTTGGGAGATGTGAGGCAGGTGAATTAAAAGCTGCTGAATTTCTAATTCCTACAGTCTCTGACTGAAGAGCATAATTCCTGAACCTTAAATATGAGTATCTTAAACAATATCTGGTAGCCTCCAGCTGAATAAACACTTTTTTATCATAAGGGTCATAAATATGGTTATTGAGAAGCTTCCATTTTCTTGATCTGAACACCTACCAAGTGATAAGATTTGTGAGAAATGATGGGCTTATCAGCAATATATGACACACAGGAATGCAGACTATCCTACATCCAACTTTTGACATCGATGTGTGGTACAGAGGTCCCTGTCCAAATCACACAGCAAACTGGTACATGCTACATTAGTTCCAAACAATCTGTAGGTGCTACCACAGGCATAAAATTCGCCAATTCTACTAATCAAGGTTTCCATATCAGTTCTGCTGTGGCATAGCACAGGGCAAGACAGAGCTTGAGGTACCCGAGTGAAAGAATTGGAGTTTCTCAGATCTTTTTCTCTATGCTTCTCCGCAACTTCCCCTGACTTGTGAGTGACCTGGAACCTTACATTTCCTTATGAGCAGTGGGGAATTTCTTTCCCCCGAGGAAACACTTGCACTGCTCTGTCCTCATCTCCCTCAATGATTGCTCACCGGTATATTTAGAAATCCTGCCTCATGTCTGGAATTTTAGATCCAGACATGTAAAAAGATCATTTAGAAATAGCTGAACAGCTGAGTCAGTGAATGTGACAGCTCTTGTTGGGGTTTTTTTAAAGAATATTAGGTTCGGCAGGAAAGGGTAGTCCTGCTTGAGCTTTAGATTTCCTTCAGGCAAATTCTTCCTCTTATTTTCTTATACTTCTGTGACACTGTATGCAAAATCTATGCATACTTCTGATCTGCAAAGGGAAAATGTCTCAACTTCTTTGCATCTTTGGCAGTCTGGGTCCTTAGTGTCATCTGTATTTTGGTGGAGAGACGGTCCCTACTGTGAACCCTACCTGAGGCAACTTGACTGACTTGAGAGGGCCAAACAGAGAACTAACTTACAGTTACAGATACGATAAGTATATATCTTTTCCCTCTAACTATTTCTTAATTAGTTAGCAACAAAAACCCCAAGATTTTAAGTTTGCCAACTGTCACACTGAATGAGTTTTATGTGAAAGATATGTAATAAACAGCTGTAAATAGAAACACAACCATGAGATACACGTTTAGTTCCTATCTTCCCCATCAGCCTCAGCAGTGTCTGGGTCAGCCCTCTACAAAAATATTTGTTCTCTTTTGTTTAGTTAATATGCAATTCTGAAAGCCTAACTCATTTTGATGAGCCTTTCTTCTCAATAAAGGCTCCCTGAAATTCATGTTGTTGTCCCTGCACCTCTATCTGAAGCTGTTTATGCTTGATATTGTCCCACCATTAGCAAGAATGGAAATTGCATTAGAAGTGCTGGACACGGAGAGAAGTGAGTTTTCTGAATCAGTCCTCTACTGAGCAGGTGTTACAAAGGTCACTGTGTGAGTGCTTTAACGAAGGAGTATTAATTAGTCATAAGGTTGCACAAAGTCTTTCTGAGAATGAGGATGAGAGCTCTGCTGTACCACAGTGCTACTTCCTCACATGGCAGGAGATGATGATCCCTATTCCTGTGTTTTCCGTGCAGCCCGTGATTCTTGCTGCAGAAAAGTACAGTTGCAACACCTATGCTGGTGAATATTTTTTTCCACCTACACTGCTGATGAAATCTCTGGTTCAGAGGCAGGAGAAGCACCTTTGAGTTCTCTCTTGAGAGGACCTGGCACGTGGATCTCCCTGCAGGGCAAGCGAGTGCTCCACAATTACATAACACATCTAAAACCATCGCTATCACTTCTTTCTCTCTCTTCTGATTTTTCTGTTGGCCACCTTAATTTCCCTTTGTTCATCTTGTTAGCTGTTCTGGATCCTACTGCTATCTATTTAATACTTCACCCTTGCAGATGGACTTCTAAAATTTGTTAATAGCAATGCTGAACATTGCTTCAGCATAGTCCCTGAGCCTCAAGCAGAACATTTATGGTTGACTCAGAACTTTATTCACAGTTTTGAGTAGTTTGAAGGAATCCAAAATTGCAGTCCTTCCTTTCTGTGCCCTTTGGCCTATTCACAATACAATCAAAAGCCATTTACTGATGGAAAATATCTGCCTTTGTATATTCCTGGGGTTTCCCCAGGAATGTAGTAATTGCATAGGAAATGAAGTCATCTCCAGAAAGGGAAGTAGGATTGGGGGGAAAAAAAAAAAAAAAAGGCAGAAAAGAAAGAAATAGACAGGATGCATGCCTGAAGCATGATCAGGATGTTCACGCTACTCAACATGCAACAACTTTTTCAAAAGAGAAGTGACCACTGTGGTTTAATTGCAGTAATTGCATTTTTAAGAAAAAAAATAATTGCAGTGGAATTACTCAGGGACTTTCCAGTATTTCAGCTGATATCACAATGTATTGTCTTTCCTATGAAATAAACACCGTTTTTCATTAATCATTATAAGTAACTGAAAAGCAATTACAATACATGAACCAGAGAGTTACTCAAACACATGTTTTATTTAATGTGATAAGGCAAAGACTTCCAGGACTGAGCAGAAACAGTAGTTGGGAATAAGGAA